GGACCAGCTGGGCATTGGTCTGCTGGTGGGAGGTGGTGAGCGATCGCATTTGCATCACTTTTTTTTTTTTCATTCTTCAATAATTAAACTTGACCCACTTATTTTTTCTCGCTTTTGCCCTTCCGATTCTTTCCCTGTGGGGAGTGAGCGAGTGACAGGGTGGGGGCTACCCTGCCAGCCAGGGACAACCCACCGCAACCTCAAACTGTTGTAGGCCGTGGACGTGCATTTAGAAAGCATTGCTATATGCTCACTCTATTCTTCTATATATGCTACATCTTTGTCTGGTTTATCTATTATCAGAAACAGAATACAAGGATGAGAACAATTGGTCTTGTCCAGTGCAACGATTTTATACTGTCATAGAATCATAAAATCGTTTAGGTTGGAAAACACCTTTAAGATCATCAAGTCCAACTGTTAAAAAAAAAAATAATACTTACATACTTACTCCAGCAATCATCTGGGTGGTTCTGACTTGATTTCTGCCACTATTTCACAATTCTTTTTCATGTGCTGGTAACTGTTTTTCAACAGTGGTTGCAGTCAGGGGTACATCCTGACTACAGGATCTACTGAGATCAGCTTTTCTTTCTATAGAAAAACATACGTCTTCCTTATGAATGCCTCACAAGCCACTCAAAGCCAAATTCAGAGGATTTTTAACAAACTTCTGGAAAGTTTTTAACACAATGCTAGGGAACTTGAGAGAAACAAAATTGTTCCTTATTTCAATGGAGTTTTACCTACAAAACTTACCTTCACTTAAACTGTATTCAACACGGACTCAGGTCATTACAGCAAGAATATCCAAACCCTTCAGTATAACTCCGTTTTCCAATTAGTTCTATAGCTATGGTCACACACAGATTCATCTGCTTTTCCTCATTCAGAAAATTCATTCTCCATATAGGACGGGCAGTTTTTGACCTGTCAAATACTTGCTTACCTATGCATTGTCTTTCGGTAGCTGGTAATACTCATCATGGCTGATACGGTGGTGTTCTCCTTCGATGACAGGCAGCAAGGTGCTAATCTGGATAAAACCTTTGACTCCAGATCTATTTTCATGTGTTCTGACTCCAGTTTCCCAGCTGACATCGAAAGCAGTAAACAAATCTGGTTAGTTGCTAAACTGGTCAGACTGTCCACTCCCACAACCTAAGGTTGCATCTAAAGCTATTCCTCACAGTTGTAGAAAAAGACAATGAAAACTACCCTGGAAATCAGGGAGAGAAGAGAGAAGAATGGATAACTGACTTGTCTTCCCACTGTGGATGTAAGCCTAAAGAGACTCAATCCACTGATACCACAGTTAAGTTTGGTACTTAACTCTGGATGGGAATTTAGGGACATTATATGATATTCTCCCACCATCCCTCCCTTTCCATCAACACCCTGAAGACTGAAGGAAACTCCAGGAAACTCTCAAGGAAACTCCAGGAAAGTGGGAAGATATGAGGCTGTCTCAAGGAAGACCAGCAGCTGCCAGTCTGCACTGATGAGGTTCTGTAGTGAGACATCTTGAAGTACTAGTTTAATAAGGATATTGGATATAAGGAAAACGCTTTTCTCAAGGCAGCCTTAAGCAGTCATATTCGGGGGATATGCCCATGCTGGAAGGGACTGACCTTCTCCTAACAGCAATATTTAGGCTGAGGTGATCAGGCATTGATTACAGAAGATATGACTAAGAGAAAGAAGTAACTCCGAAGTTATTTCTGGATACCCAACTCAGTCTATAGCTGGATCAAGATCTTCTCCACCTGCACCTTTACTGAGACTGAAAGCAGGCAGAGAGTAGGTGGCTCTGGGACCTACAATGGATCCAAGATGGCAAATTTAATTGTGATGCTTGGATCTAGATTTGTACGCAAAAAAGTGGACTGAGATTTACGGTCTCTCCTTCACAGGATGGGTCTGAATTTCAGTACCCTCTTAGAAGAAGAGGAATTTAAAACTATAGTTGAATCTATGATTGTTCCAAAGAAGAGATGAATAAACCCAGTACTTAGAAACATCTATACAGTAAAAACTCCATCAGTCTGCTGGAATTTGGCACAGATAAATCACTTGAGGACTGAAAGCTAAGTATCTGTACAAGCCTTTAGAGAAGGACTTCAATCGCTCCTATGATTCAAGAAAGCACAAATATTTCAGAGAAGGCAGCCAGAAGAGGATGTGCGTGCTGTAGAAGACATACTTGGAGAACTATCAAAGTAGGCTGGGGGTGGAGCAGGAAAGAGGGGAGACCAGCCATGGGCCTTGAAGGTCATATGGTGACCCCCCAAAATTTGCTACTTCTCCCTCAAGAGAAGGAGCAATTGGGGGAGAGGAAAGAGGAATCAGAGGGTGGAACACTAAAATAAATCTCTTGCCTCCTCGTCCTCCAGTCTCTTGTCCTTACCTGATTTAGCAAGACAGCTTGAAGAGCAGTAAGGTTGTGCAGCTGAGAAGCATTCCTGGCTGGCAAACAGCCTCTTAGACAAACTGCTGGTTGCTGCTTAGTTGGCAGTTTGTGGCACACTGCCCTGCACAGCAGGACTAAGGAAACTGGGAAACCTAGACATACTTGTCACTCCTCTTCTCTGTTGAAAACATGCCAGAGCTTTTCTTCGGATGAGGCCAAGGTAGTGACCTGGCACAAGGTATCTGCTTCATCCCCTCCTGGCATGCAAGAGACAGAAGAAGCTGTAGATGTTTAGTAGTGGAAGAGAAGAAAAAGGCACTTGGTTGCTAACAGATTTCTGAATGCCTGGTGAGACAAAAGTTGAGGGAACCACACATCTATGGTAGAGACGAGCTATAGGCCTTCACAGGCATGGTGAGAAGATGTTAGGAGCAAAAGCATTTCTCAAGTCATGGGTAGCAACTAGTAAGAATTTGCAACAATATTCTCATATCCAAGAACAAGTGCCTTTAAAAAGGCATCAATAGATTTTTAAGAATAAATGCAGTGTAGCAAAATGGTGTTGCCTCCAGCCAACTTAAAATTATACAATGCTACTGACTCAGACTTCATGATTTATGGACCACCTGCTTCTGCTCTTATTGAGGACATTCTTCATTAACACAAATCTCCAGCTCGATCAGCCTACTGTATTGACTCAAAATTTTTGAGAAAAGAAGTTTGGGTGTCTGCATGAATTGGACTGAGAGGTCCTTTTTCCTGTTTAAAGACAATAACATTTACAGCTTTAAATGCTATGTCAATTTAAATGTTATAATGTTTCACAATCATGTATTTAAACACAGAAATCTGTTTATTTACCCAAACAAAACAGAGGAAATGATTCCAGCCCTCAGGTTTTGAATTCTCACTTAAATATGTGAACATCAGTCCACAACTTAGAGATGTTTGTGTATCTATGTACCTCCAAAATACTCATATTTCATAGGCTTTTTCACATTAATATTCACCAACAGTATCACAAAAGTTCTTTTTCTTTTACATAACTGTAAGCAACAGTAATTCTAGAAACACTAGAGAAAAAAAAGCATAGCAATGTCCACAGTTACAAGAAAAAGTGCACATTACTTGGTCACAATCACAGTCATTACTTGGAAAACTATATGTAACAAGTAGATATAAAATATCACCGATGCCTTAAACTCATTGTCAAAAACGGAATTACATAAAATTTTGTACATGAAATAAGGCAAATTTAGGAATGCACAAGAAACTTGTTATTCAACAAAAGCTAAACAACAGAACAGATAGTACAGTAAGCAAAAACTAAAGTACTTTTTTCTATATGCTTAAAAATAAGCCTGCCGTAGTGCACAAAGAAAACACCATTAATGTGTAATCAATATTATAAAATAAGAAATAGAGGGGTTGGGAAGAGTGGGGGAGGGGAAAGAAGAGTTTTATTATAGTTGCAGCTGCATCCATTTACAGTTTTGTACAGGTTTTAGCTAGGCCTGGGAATTATACAAATCATACCAGAAGTGTCAAGACCTTCCTCTGTAAGAATTTTGTTTAAATTAAGGAAAACAAAATAAATACACACAAGAGTGCAAATTTTCAGATTGTCACTTGCAACCTCTTAACATTCACCACCTACATCCAATCACAACTAGAGGGACTTGTATAGGACAGCAGCAGTGATCATGGAGTTCGATGAGTTCACTGTAAGAAATCAATTTATCTTTTTTTTTTTCCTCAATGATATGTCTTTTTTAAAAAACCCTCAACTCTTTATTAATTGCTAGTAAAGCTGCAATATATTACAGAATGGAGTTGAGAATGGTATGAATGCAGGAAATGCATGCTTCCTTTGGAAGGTGTTCCGTAGATGACAATTTACAGTACAGGGGGGAAGAATTATCCAGCATCAAGAGTTACTCGTTGTAGAAAGAATATGAAGTTGGGTAGAAGGGCACAGTCAGGGGTTCAAGAGAGGAAGGGGGGACTTACAATAGCTCCTCAAAACATTTTCAGGACCAGTGAAAAAGTTTACCAAAGTAAAAATGAAAAATCTTGAATGAAAACAAAAATCTTTTGTTTTGTTTTTTATAAAAATTACATTTTTTTAAAATACAAGATCCTTTTAATTGCAATTGTGCCCTGTAGCAACAGGACATTTGGCAACGTTTTGCCATATACTGCAGCTTTAAGTCCAATGAGTCAGTATCACATTCCACTAATATTGCACTTGGATCTTGAACAATGGTTTTTTTTAAAAACCGTCACAGCATCTTCTGTTTCCTCCACTTGTTAGAACGAGTTAATTTCTAGCCACTTTTTCGATATTTATGCTGACACACTAAAACAAAAGCAATAGGCTGGACACAGTAAAGTACCTCGGAAATACCAGAGGTCAAAGTTCACTTGAAGCACCTTAACACATCACTTTATGGATCAAGAACAGTGTGGCATTATGGTAATTAACTCTCCTAAAAGACTGTGCAGTAACTGAAGTGTGTGCTCTGGGAAATCAAAATGTCATTAGTGGAAACTCTGAGATAAGACCAGGCCAGTGTGAAGGTCACATGACTCAGTTCTGCTGCAAAATAAGGTTTTCCAGTTCATCTGCAGAACGCAATAAAAATGCGGCTGATTCTCGGTACCCTGCCACAAGTTGCCTCACTGCATTTATTTCAGTCGGACTCAGCTGGGGTCTAGAGCTTGAACTACTGGAGGATCCAGAGCTGGTTGCTAACTGCCTCTTCATACTGAGATCTGTTGGACCTGCAGATAACAAAGGAAAAGAAAAGAAGCTTCAGATCTGCTGCCAAAGACGTTTCACAGGTTTGCAGCTACAAATGCAGAGTAGCAAAATCTGCTCTCAGCTGCATGCCAGTAAGAAGTAGCAGAAACAAGCAATAACTGTTCAATTGCCAGTTGCCTTGACAGGAATCACAGTGATTTATATTTCTACATGACACACGCTCTTTAAGTTCTACTTAACTAACACGAGGGCCAAGTCCACCGCCAGCAGAAAATTACCCTCTGGGGGGTATCCCACCAGCATAAGCCACTCGCACCCCAACACTGCCCTGGGATCTGACGTTGGTGAGCAGGCAGAAGGTTCACCCCCTGTGCCTCCCCCAGCTCCAGCTGCCATCGTAGCCTTCATGGCAATCTGCACACTTGCAGTCTTTATCACAGAATATCAAATTTATGTTCTCTAGATATCTATTTTCACATTTTATGCTTCAATCAGCATGTGGCCAGATTGTGAATCCCTTACAGACATAGATAAATGGTCATTCACTCAACTAGCCCTGCCACCATGCGATCACTTATACAAATAGCTGCTCATGAATGAGATTAGGTTGGTGACAATCTGTCTGCTACAATGAGGAGTACACAATCATCTGGCGGGACTGCATAAAGCTGGCAATATATTGCAAAAATCTTGTAAAGTCTGAACACTGACAAGAGAATCTGCAGCAATCACCATGTTGCAGTGGCACCTTATACCAATAGGCTTAGTACTCTTCATCAAAGAATATTCTCAAGACCACATATGCTGCGTGCAGAAGACAGCACTCCTGGGGCAGACCGCAGGTTATTGTGATCGGCAAAACCATCTGCCCTCAAGAAGTTTGGCTTTGTGTGGAATTTCCCCGGTTGTTTGACTACAGTTATTAATCAGCTAAGATATATGCTGCTTTGATGAGATGTTTGCGTTCTCCACTTAGCACAATACATTTTTTCTTCCTGGAGCGTAAATTTGGACAGGTGGAATTGAACTGAGGACTTTTTTAAACGTAGAAGGATACACAGGGCAAGTATACCTATCAAGCAGTTTATTCTGTGCAAATCTGGAAAAATACATTCATTTTGACAGTGTAGCAAATCTATACCTCTGGCAGGCAGAAGATCAGACTAGCCTGATCTTAATCTTCATATCTCCTGGAAATTGGGATCAAGTTATCTAAAGCAGAGTATCTAGCTTTCCTATGATAAAAATGTCACTTTTCAATTTTGCCCAAACAAGGTATGTCAATGCCAAGGCTTTCTCAGCGTTGGTTCACTGGGTGGACATTGCTTCCTAAAAAGACTGGAATAATTTTAAAATTTAGCATATTCAACTGTAGAATACAGAACTCACCAACTCATACTCTAAAGGTTCTTCTAAATAACCCCACCATAATCACAAGATTCAAAACCAGACTCATATCTTAAGCACTAATGGAGATGTACTGATTTCCAGAAGCTGAAGATCTAGTCATAAACCTTATTTATTTTAGTTTCTTTATGTTTATGCAGAGATACAGCTGAGACCACAAAGAACGTGGAGATTGCCATGTCCCCACACTCACTGAAGTTAATGAAAATCTCCCCTTGAGTGAAAGAAAGCAGAGCTGGGACTATGAAAAGAAACTACTCAAACAGAAAGGGTCCTATTAGATCTTATTTCCTACTATGCAACTGGCATGAACAGCACTTAGCCTTACAACTGTATTACCCAGTTTTACACCTGCATAAATGAACTGACTTTTAAATGACTTCCAGTGTACAAAGGATAAAAAAAAGGACAATTAGCTCAGTGAATTTGTTTCGGTGTGACCGCACGCTGCAGGGAAACCATCACAGTGTGAAGAAGCTCAGAGGATACTTCTAAGTAAAATCTTAACCCAGCACAGCGAAGAAGGGTACACAAATCATAAAGCCAGCTGGGCTGAATGGCTGTAAGAAGCCATTAAAGACTTCTATATTTATTGAGGCGGTAGTGAAAAAGCTACCACTGACATATTGAGGGCATTGTGCTCCATATGAACCCACTTTAACTTTTATGTTCTTTCCTCGACTCTCATTCATGTCACAGACAAAAACACACACACAATATATGGCAGAACAGAGCTTCTGCAGCAGAGCGCATGTTTTTCTGAAACGAAACCGAAGGGCTTTTCTCATTGGTAATCCAGATTTTTAAGTGATTGAATAGGATATTAAGTTCATTTCACTTATAAGTAGAAAATAAGTGCTTGCTTACATTTCTGAGGTTTTTTCCTACAAAAATTGATGACACAAAGTAAAAGCAGTGCTCTGAAAGGAAAACTAGGAGAAGACCAGATGTCCAGCATGCATAAATCAGTGTAACTCCTCACAAATCTATAGGGTCACAGTAATTTACACAAACTGAAGGTCTGGCCCTGTAATTCCAGATTAACTGTCATGAGGAAAGTTTTCAGGATGTGTATCTTTCAATCTGTGAAGGTACTGGAAATAAAGTTTTGTGCAGGTACACATCTGCATCCTGCGTATACAAGCAACCATCAGGACCCACAATTCCTCTTGGTCTGGGAGACCTGTGTTGTACAGAGTTCTTGTATATAAAGGAAATAAGAAATCTCACATTTTAACTTACCCCAGCTACTTCATATTACTTGATTTTTTTTATTATTTCTATATACTAGGAAAATAGAATTTTACTTCGCTCCCCAACTCCTGCCTTGTACTTGACAAGTCACAGTACTGTCCTCCTTCCCCTCAAAGAAAAGCCCCCTGAGCAAAAAAGCAAAGAATTCCACACACACAGAAGAGTGTTCATGGCTATGGTTTCAGGGCAGTGAGTACACCCGTGCCTTTTCAGGAAGAGAAGCTGCATGAGCTGGCAGAGAGCTGAACAGAAAGAGAACAAGCCACGCTTGATGTGGGGATAAGGATCTTAGTTCTTCTTTTAATTATGTTATGTGACCCCTACACCGCACCTCCAAAGATTGCCTATGACAGCCCAAGCTTTATATCTGGGAGAATACCTCACTCAGAGACTATACCCAGGATGTATTATACTGGTCTCAGCTTTTAATAGCTATGATAGACACTCACTGGCAGTATTACTGACTCTCAAAGGTTGACCAGGCTGCTACATGCTAAAAATGCTATAACTTACCTGTCACTTCATCAGTCATACCTAGTCATTCAGAAAATAAGGAATAAATGCATCTTATTCTTACAGCGTAGATTTTTCCTGTGTAATTTTATGCAAATCAGCTATTGAAACACAGGAACCTAAATTTTACTAATAAATATCCACGGAATTTCTTTAACCAGACAAATAAATCACAAATATTCTGAAGGTTTAAAATAGCTGGTTAAGGTAGACACTTCGTGTACCTCTATCTGCAGAAGTCATCACTACGGACGACTAAATCTAGAGAAAACTGAACAGCTTTGCCACCGTTTCTTTTAATAACTATCCTTACTTTAAACAGAACTATTTCCTTAGTGTACTTAACATTATTTATTAAGCTGCCAGTCTTTACAGGAGCAAGGAAGTGTATCCTTATACAGAGAGAAATCTGAATATTTTTGCAATGAATTTTGCAGTATCAGGTTCCTTCAAAGTGATACTGCACATTTTAGCATAGTGCTTCCTATCCTGGAGTACTTCAGGACAATTAAAAATCTTGACTGAAGATATTATCAGGTTCCACAATGTCTCTGACAGTGTGTAAGAAAAGATTAAGCATATATCGCAGAGATGAAGACAGGATATTTATTTTTTAATTATTTATTTCTCTCAGTGCATACTATTGTAATTCACAATTGTCACCTCCCATGTTTTTATAACAGCACAACATTCTCTTAAGCAGCAGGTTAAACAAATTGCTGAGACAGATCCTTTCCCTTATACGCTGAGAAGACTGAAGTGTTGTTCCTATGCCTCTTGTTGTGGCCATTTGATGGACACTTTAACATGGAAGTATTTTTGATTTACCACCTCAGTCCAGTTACATAGACCTAATTTCCCTGTAAGGTGAAATTGCTCTTGTTGGAACCACATCAAGCTGAATATGGTAACTCTGAAACCCCACTTTTCATGTGCTAGACAATCATTTATCAAATTAGCTTCTAGGAATATCTGCCATTAAATATACTGCTGGACAAATGGCTCTTTTTGTAAATTGAAAGTCTTAAATGGAACTAGTTATTGCCTCATGCACTACTCATTAGCAACATGATTTATATCAAATTCTAAAATATGGGTCAGATGTAGATGTGCTGTTACTGATTGCTTAGACGCTATCAACTGTCTCAGCAAAAATCCCTTAAGAATTGTATGCTGTCACTGGGTAGCTACCAATCTTATAATTAACAACTACTGAAAGAATAATAAATGTGTCAATGACTCTCAAAATGGTTATCACTATTGCAGATGATAATTCAGAATAAGGAAAAATGATTTTTAAAAGCTATATGTTCTTAAACATCTATGTTTCTACATTTTCATTAATAGTTAAGCAACCTTTTTCATCAGTGAAGACGCAAAAAGGAGTGGCACTTTTTTATAGAAAAATACATATGCCCACGCTTTGAAATCTCTCTTGTGCATCTTTTCTATTGCACTTATTCTCCTTTCTGCCTTTTTTCCCCATGAATGGCTTTAGAAGTATGTTCTAGGTTCTCATATACTCCAATAAAACTAAATAGAACAACTATCAAAGTATGTTACTTTTTTTCCGAATCAGATGTATTTATTATTGCAAGAAAGTTTTATTGTGATATTATGCATCTGTCAATGTTTCTTTCTCTCCTGCCTTCAAACAAAGAGCAGATGTGCCTAAAACTATTGCTTCTAGTGCCAGGAAATCTCAGATCTAGAAAAGAGGGACTAATGAATTAGACCTTTTAAGCTGCTTTCTACCTTCTACACCTTTCTTTCTGGAAAACATACCTTCAGCTAGTTTAGATAGAAGAAAAAAACTGCCATGTTGCCTGAGGAAATAGATGTGACA